AGCAGGAATATTAACACTGAAAGAAAGTGGAAAGATGTAATCAAGGAGAAGTGTGAAGGATAAAGTCAGCCCTTTTCACAGCAGCATGAACTTCAACTTGCTGCAGTGAAAACTAACTTTTTTCTAAAGATCATTTCTCAGACAACATTATTTTTCATTTTACAATCTGCAACTTAAGGACACTTTTCTTGCATGAGTCATTCTGCAGACAGCAGAATTCAGAATTTTAGATAGAAATAGGGATTTCACCCGGAATAACAAAATTTGATACCCTTTTAACATTTCAGTCGTGAAGGTTCTTGTACTCGTAAATTGTTTTGCTCTTGAAGAACACCAAATCTTTTATAGGTGCTCTAGAAATTAAGAGCATGCAAGAGGTAATTTAGAAGTGCAATAAGAACATCTGGAGACAAGGTTTAATAATCAAATAGATCAATTTGCTCTTACTTTCGCCATAACAACTACATATCTAAGACTAGGCAAAGCAAATTAACTGATGTGTAGGTACTCAAAGGTGCTCACCTGTTCCTTACAATCTGCTTCATTACATATGCCAATGAGGACTCACAAGGTATCAAATAAACAACAACCACCACCTGAAGACAATCTACTTTTTTTAAGACAGCATTTTAGAAGATTGAGAATATACAGTCATTCAGGTACTCAAAAACTTAAGAGAAAGAGCAGTTTCATGCACAATTTTTTCCTCTAATGCTCTTCCACACACCAGTGTACAAACCAGAGCCAGAGAAAGGGGTAACTTTCAGCTCCAACCTGAAGGAAACTTTTCTTCTTCTGAGAAGTCGTTCTGCGAGTAGCAAAACTAATGAAACTTGTTTTCCTGTAGTGCTGCATCTCAAGATTGATTGACTTTGACATCTAAATACGTAGAAGCTGTGACTGCAGCTTTTCCTGCAGTTGGGCCATTCATAATGTTTGTCTCCCTGAATTCCCTGGAGTCTCATAACACAACTGATTTGGGCAGCCTTTCCCTCTCCCTTCTGCCCAAACTCATATCATCATTCAAACTGTAACTGACCAACAAATTCAAAGGTATAGGACAGGGGAAGGAAGACTGGCAGATGTAGCATTAAAAGCTTCATTTCCTTAATAAATCAATCTATCAGAATAAAACTGAAGCTCCCTGCTATAAAACCAGAACCTGTTCGCCCTTTGGCTTTCTTCTCTTTCACCTGTCTCCTCTGAGCAGGCAGACAGAATTCCTTTCCCTCTCTCTTGTTATAACTAAATTTCCCTTTTTTGTTGGTACAAAAAAAAAAAAGTTTGCATTCTGTCAGAGCAGAAGGGAAGAGGAAAAAAAAATAAAAAAGGTTTGAGAAGGAAACAAGTCAGAATTGCATGCATCCTGAACAGAGTAGACAGAGATGAAGCCTAAATCATTCTGAAAAGTGACTGACGTGGATGCAAATGCAATGCAGTAAGAATAACAACACTTCCATTTATATAACGGGTTACCACATGCTTCACAATACAAGGAGTAAATGCAAGAGTTGATAAAGAAGAGTATTAAAATAGTGCTAGAGAAAATTTTTGCCCATTTTTTTTTTCCCCCCATCCATCCTTCTTTCATCCAGTCCAGAGCAACATTTGCAAAGTAGTCTACTTACTCAGTAGTTCTCCTACAGGGAAAAGGCAAGGTTACCATAGTATTGTCAATTAATTTTGACACCTGCTTACTAAGATTGATCAATTATTTCTGATGTCTCTCTGCTATGTTGTTATTTCTCAGTCTAGAAAAGAAATAAAACAAAGCAAAAAGTACTACACATCTCTAACCAATGAATTAATGGTCCCAAGTTACCCCTAGGTAAAGTATTTCTCTTACAATAATGTTTCTGATGCTTGCTAATGCAAGTCACTCACTCCCAGAAGAGCAAACATAACCATACTTCACTTACATGAAGAAAAATAAACACCCTTTTATTTTCAAGTGGTTTAAGCCTACGCTTAAAAAAAAAATCCATTTTCTCAAATAATCTAGTGACAGACAGGTTTTACACAGATCCATTTTAGGTCATTGAAAGCTCAGTTTTAACCTTGCATAATACAAACGCACCCAGGCACTTCCAAGGGCTGAAACTCTGAAACAATGTAAATGTTTAGAATAAAACTTCTGTTAACATTTGTATACACCATAGCTACAACCAATAAATTGTTAATGAAGTTATAACAGCCAAACACACTTTTCAATCTTTACATCATTTTGCAACATTCTTCATAACAATTCTTAGTGACAAAAGCAACTGGTGCAAAAGTGATAAACATCCAACATAACTGGTCAAATGCAACTATCCCTATTGCAAAGGTCCAGCCAGGGCTACTTTTGTATAAAGCAGATACTCATGCTTCACGGACAAATGGGAACAGCATGCAAGTGTTCCACAAAAATAAGTCAAACCATTGATTGCCACAGAAGTCAGAAAGGTTTTCAATCACCCGTCCATAAGGCAGACTAATATTCATTTTCCAACTCTTCAGCTGGAAATACATAGACTTGACTCATCACCCATTCAACACTCATCTGAATCTTCAGGATTCAAAATACAACCCTCAGAGCTGCTCCTTGCGCTGTAACGCACATTAACGTATTTCATGCCATCCCCAACTCACAGGACTTGAAAAGCTGTAAATCTTAGAGTGCTTATTTTCATTGCAGAGTATATTTTGCTTCTAAGATTAAAGACGAGCTATCAAAGATGAGCCACTGTGAAAGTGTCCTCAGTAAAAAATAGGTCTCAAACATAATAGAAACAGCTTACTTCTGTGATAAAAATCATAATGCAAGCATCACTGTCACTTCTAAAGCATGAAAGAATATGGAGGAGTTAATAAGAAATCTATCCCCGTTTCACCAAAACTCCTAACAGCGCTTGGATTAACCACTGTGTTACTTCAGCTCAGAAGAGGTGCCCTTTCAACATTCAGGCAGAATTTCCTCTAGGTGGGGATGGATTATTAACTTTCTACCAGAAGTGAAAACATAACCACTGTGCCTCCTCACTTGACAAATACAGCCAATGTAAAGAAACACAAACGTTTTCACAGGTAATCAAGGAAATACCTGTTAGGAGTGGATAAAGGCTCCGGTTACCATTCAGAGAATATACTAATTCACATGAAGCTTTGAAATTGAAGAAATTAAAATTTGCTTCAGCCCTTGCACTATTAGAGTCTGAAGTGAGTGGCGTCAAGACAAAGGATACAAGTAATCTCTTTAAGGCAAGGAAAGAATAGCTCTGCAAGCCTGTCTCCTGCAGATACTCACACACAAAGAAGATTCACCTGGGCCTCCTCTCCTCATTCTCAATCCCTATGCAATTAGCCCATTGTTCCTCAGCACAGAGCAGGACAAACCTCAAATCCTCAATACAGGCAGGCAACAAATGACCAACTTTAAACTCTTACTGCCAAGTTCTTATGCAAATACGATGTACTATATTTACCTTATATTACCTTTATAACTCAGTTATAATCCCACTGATGGGTTAATCCACCAGATACTACCAGTGAATCATTTCTTTCTCTGCAGTGTGCACATTACTTCAACCAACATGTCTGACTCCAGCTACTCCTTAACTTCCCAAGCTAACAAGTTACTGGATTTACTTTTTGTTTATTTAGGAGCGAGTGACCTTGGATTAAATGTTTAAAAGAGATGTAAATTATATATCTTCATCTTAGAATCTAAAGAGAAAACTGAACATAACCACAATTTTAAATAGACAATTATTGATACTTTTAACCTATTAAAAGACAGAATTTGAATTCTGTAAGACATAGCCTCACCAATTTATTGCTATTTGCTGGATATTAGAACACTTTCCAGCTACATATGTCAATACACTTAATAAATAGAGTTCCTGCTTTTAAGGGGTGTTTTACAAGGGAATGAAATGAGATGTCCTGTCCAAGGTTATATAGCGAAATAACAGCAAACAGTATTCTTCACAGCCAGTCTTTACACTGATACCAAAGGGGGCGGGGGGAAAGTGACAGCCCTATAAATTAAGTCTTCTTTTCCACTACATATAGAAAAGCAAGTGTCAGGGTGCACTTCTTTCTTACTGATCAATGACTTGGTATCACATTCACTGTTAAGAATGGGAAGGTAGTTCTGGCTTCACCGACCACTCACCCCTTTGCAAAAATATGTTATTGTTTTACAATTACCAGTCTCCTCTCTCCTGCAAAGCTTGTCATAACTGATTTATGTTTCACAAAGTTACACTTATGTTATCCTAAATGTGCCTGACTAATGCCCACTCAAAAGAAAGGGAGGAAGACTAGAACGAGAAAACACTTTCACTCTTCAGAAGGAAAAAGTCATTAAATTCCACTAGGAATTTTTGCTCCCTGGGCAGCCCCATGAAGTGCCCATGTCATTTTCATGACAGTTTCACAAGGGACGGCAGCGACACAGCTTTAGGCCGATTTCTCCTTGTCTCTCAGTTCCCATCAAGAGGCGCAGCCTATTTTCAGCGGTAAGTCAGCGCGTACAATTTTCCATCGGAGGACTGCGTCCTGTGTTCTTAGAGGGAGGGACCATGAGGTGGAGGAGCCTATTTCATCCCTAACTTCTGTCACATACTTCCACCACACACAAACAAAATCATAGCAGACACAAGCAGGGAAAAAAAAAAAAAAAGAAAGAAAGAAAAACGACAGGACAAGGGTGTAGGGAGGAGAAAACGGGAATCGAAATAAGCCGAGACTTACTTGAACCTGCCCTGGCAGTGTTGGCACTGGTCTCCCACCCAGCCCTGGTCGCAGACACAGGTGGAGTTGACACAATGACCCGAGAAGCAGGAGATTTTGTCGCAGGACTTGGACTGGGACACCTGGGCATAGAGGGCCAGGTACAAGAAGCCGTAGAAGAGCAGCCAGCTGTTCACATCCAGCAGCGAGGAGAAGCAGCAGCAAGAGGAGGAGGAGGAAGGGAAAGGTCTCCAGACGCCCAGGGGCCCGGGGGCAGCCCCC